ATATCATGAAAATATTCATTATTCTAAGATTAATTTATTTAAATTAACAATCAATATTAAAGTAAATATTTTCTTAATCATATCAGTTTAAAAGGAGTGCGTTTAGATTTTGCATAGATAGTTATTAATCAATTTATGGATGCAAAAATTTTTCTTTAACCATCATTACTAAATTTTATGCAAAGGTATGCTTTTGGTGTTGGAATGGGAGATGAAGTTCCAGAAATTATGGATTGTGTATTAGATGTAATACTTGTGAAGCCATAATAGAATGTCATATTAAATTAATTCAAAAAAAAGATGCAAACAATTTTTGGAATGGAATAATTGATATTTATATCTCATTTGATCAATTTGTTTGTAATGAAAATATTAGAAAAGTCTTCACTATTATATAATTGCAATAATTTAGCACCAAGTTATTTAAAAACATAATTGAGAGTATAAGTATATAAGCAGAGAAAATATAAAAATTAGGAAATTAATTTATAGAATTAATGTCGGATAAAGATAGTTATGAAAGCGGTTTTGTATTTGGATAATTGGTTTCTTTAATAATTGATTTTTGACATTATAGATTTAATTACATAATTAAATAATTATTAATATTATCAAGGAATACAGAACCATCAAATGAAAAAATTTCATGCATTTTTGATTTTCTCTCATATAATATGTTTGTTTCAATGGTGGATCTCTTATTACTCCAAAAACATTGAATCATGTATTATTTTATCAATGTTTACAGACAAATAGAAAAAATTCATTTTAATTGGAGTATTAGGAGAACCTATTAGTTTACTATTTTTTTCAATGACTGGTATTTTTGATGACAAAATTCCAATAATTTTTATAGCATCAATTTGTAGAATTATAGGAAGAATAGTACTAAATAATTTTATGTATTATGGACAACTTTATTTTTAACCCCATTTCCATTTTTTGGATATATACCAATATTATACCCAAAAGATGTTGAAAAAAAAGTGAGGATAAGAGAGGCTTTTAGTAGCATAGGAATTTTTGAAGGACCAGCATTAGGATCAGGTTTATATGCTACAGGAGGATATTTGACTCCATTCTTAGTGTTTAGTTCATTTAAATTTATCTCATTACCTTTTTTATATGCAGCATTGTAAGTTGTTGGGCAAAAAAATATTACGTGGAAATTTAGAGATAAATTGAAGAGATTAATGAAACCAAGAAATTGAATGAATACAGGCATACAATTTAAGGAACTGAATCATTAGATAAAGAGGAGAAATTAACTTTCTTGACTTTAATTAATTATTATCCAGTAGTTGTTATTTTTTGGGTGATTACTCTAGTTAAGATTTGTATGACATTTTCCAACCCAATTTATCAATCTATTTTTCTGAAACCTATGATTTTGATGAGGGTTAAATTGGTTTTATAATGACAATTGTTTTTCTGGCATATACTTTTGGATGTTAACTTCGTGGATACAATAAAAAAGAGAAGTATATTCAGATTTTTTAAATCATATTAGAATAATTTTTTATTAGGAGTTTTAAGTGGTCCTGCTTATGTTCCTTCTTTACCTGTCTTAAATGAATTCTTATTATTTCACCATCCAATTCCAACTATAAGGGTTTCCACCTATTCGTCTGCGTTGTACCAATAGTTTTTATATTACTTTAGATTGACAAGTGGAATGTTTATTGGTTAATTAACTGGACCTATCATTGCAGGTATTCTCGGAGATGAATTCGGATTTGAAAGAGCTTGTAGTATTTTAGGAATCATAATTATTGTTACATCTTTTATTTATCTTCCTATCATTTTTATGAAATCTAAAAAAGAAAAATAAATGAATTGTTAAAATGACCATTTTGTATATAATAATTTTCATAAATAATATAATAATTTTATTTCATTTATGTGTTTTCCTCACAAAAGCCTTTGAATTTTTTGGTGCTATTAATTTAATGACAAAATTGGGTTTATAGCTCCAAACCGCAATTTGTAATAATAATTATTAATAAAATCAATAAAATGGATAGCAACAAACAAATAAAAACATTGTAAGAATAATAATCCAAAGGGGAAGATGAATCCACAAGACATCTAGGCGATATTTTGGGTATGAAATACACATAAATTTAATAACCTCCTTCTTAAAATATTTACTTTAGAAGTCTAAGATAAAGGTTTGAATTTATTTAAGATTAATATCCTTTACCTCTTAAATTCGAATAATTATTATAAATTATGAGAACTATCGAATAAACGTATTGGAAGAAATAAAAGCCAATTGTTTATGAAATTAAAACCAATGCTTTAAGGATCCTATAAATTGGATAATTACTAAAACTTGACAAAGAACTCTATCAAATTAAAATTGTAGAAAAATCTGTTTAAATTATTCCTAATGATATTCTTATTGAAAATTTACCTTCATTTCAACCATTTGCTCATTAGTTACCATCTGTCTTTGAAAGTAGAATAACTAAAATCAGAAATATTTTCGATAACTTAGTACAAACTGTTCATGAAAATTACATAGAAATAATAAACTTATAGGATTTTAAAGAACAATCAATAAAATTCAAAGTATATCACCCTACATTTGATTTAAATTTAGTCCCTGATATACTTCCTTAATAATTACCTTTCTAAATTTATTCTGAAGAATAAAAAAATTAGCTTCAGCAAATCACTGAAAACACTATTTAATATTTTAATAAACGAACAGTCTCTTTTATGTTCTACCCCAATTTAATTAACTATTTGTTAAGTAAAATAAAAATGAATAAAGATCAGATGGAAAAATACATTCAATTTTTGATAAAAGTTTAACCAGATTATTTACAGATAACAAATTAAAAGCAAAAATAACAAAAAGTAAAATGGATCATCTAAATTAATAAATAAAGCACTGTAGAAAATTAAATTGAATAATTTAAAACTTATTTTTATTGATTTGATATATGTTATTTCTTTTGTTTTACAAAATTGTTTAGATTATTTTTCTCATGATTAAAAATTTATATCTACTTTTAATTTTTGAACATCTTCTAGTGATTTAATATTAAGTGAATTAAAGAAATTATAAATGAGTAAGTTTTAAACATTAATATGAAGTAATAAAAAAGCAAATGTAAAGAGAAAATGTTTAAAATGGTTTAAATAATTTGAAATTAATAGATGTGAAGCTTATGTTGATTAATTTACATAATATAAATAATTATATTTAAAATTAGTAAAATTAATGATAAAGAAATAACCAATAAAACAAGCAACTAGGATGTAAACTCAAGCAAATGATTAATAAGAAATTGTAACTTAAAGTAAATTTTGTAATGATTAAAGCAAAGTTAGCAAGCATCTAAAATACACTTTAAATTAAATTGTCGGTAATGGAACATTTGGGATGGTTTATTGATATAAGACATGAAATAGCATCGGCAACAATCTCTTAAACAAATGAAAAAGTGGCAATAAAAAAAGTATTTTAGGATTCCTGGTGAAAGTGCAACAGATTAGCTTGTAAGAAATCATTAAAATATTGGGCACTCCTACTATTGAATAAGTTAAATAGATGAATCCTATGCATAAAGAATTTAAATTTCCTTAAATAAGGAATCACTCTTGGAGCAAAGTAAATTAAATTTTTGAAGTTAATTTAGGTATTCTAGAAATTTAAACCTGATCCTTTATTTGTTGATTTGATATCAAAAATAATGTTGTATCCTCCACGTGAGAGATTAAGACCCTTAGAAGCATTGTCTCATCCTTTTTTCAATGAAATAAGATATGAAAAGTTTGGAATTCCAAAAGTATAATTATGACCAAGGATTTGGTAATTTGATGAAAATATTCTCTCGAGTAAAATTGTGGAATAGACATCACTTTTAGTGGTAGTACATGTTGAACAGTATTTGTTTCTGGTAATTTATGGTGCTCAAATATTGGAGATTCAAGATCTGTATAAAATTTATCTTAAGTTAGAACAAAGCATAGACTCTATAAATGGAAGATTTTAAAATTGAATAATGATCATAAACCTTATTTGCCTACAGAAAAAAAAAGAATTCTTGCAAGTAAAGGAAGAGTACAACCATTTGTGAAAACGGATAAAATATTGGTCCAGCTAGAGTATGACTTTTGCATGAATAAACACCTGATTTAGCAATGAGTAGATCATTTGAAGATTATGTTGCTTCCACTGTTAGAGTCATTTCTGAATCAAAAATAATTTATCATAAGTTAAATCAAAAATGTGGATTTTTAGTAGTTGGTAGTGATAGCGTTTTGAAATTTCTGACTAATGAAGAGATTTAATAAATTGTTATCAGTTAGGAGTCCTTAAATGAATGCTAAGAAAATAGATGAAATGGTTGACAATATAGTTAGAGAATCTAAGAAGAGATGGTAAGAAGAAGACATTTCAATCATTATTGCATATCTCTTGATTATTATTAAACCATTTTCAGATTTTTAAAATTCCTATTTATATATTTCATTAATTAAGAATAAGATATAGATACAGATATAATTATAAAAAATCATAATCGAAAAACCATTATGGTTACATTGTCTTTTATATAATCATTTTTAATTGATTCATATAACTATTTTGCAACATTTTTTGATATGTATACTTTCAATAAAACTTGTTGAACAACTTCTTCAGATAGTTCCTAAAATTGTAAATAATACATAAATCCCAAAATCCATCACTTGCCATTACTATAAATCTATTATTATCTTTTATTTTATATTTTGAGATTTCAGGATCACTAATTATAAACTTCTTAAGTTTAAAATCTCCAAAAGATCTTGTCATTATTAATTAGCAGAAACTCTATTTATATTTTATCTCTTTATTATTAAACGAAAATTAATAGAAATAATTTCTCACCCTGCTCATATATGAATGCTTTTTTTTTCTCTTAGATTGAGGAATATGAATAGAATTCAATATTTAATGAGAATTTCTCCAAATACTATAGATTTGCAATCTCCTAAATTTGCAATTATAACAGTATTTTAAATAGATAATAGGATAACTACTGATCCTGATTATGTGTATTCACTTAAATTACTGTCTGCTTCTTTAAATACTATATATTATATATGCGAACTAAATACATTATTTGTAATCTTAATCTGACATTTCATTTTAGATTTTCTATAATAAATTTTAAGTCAAGTAATCTGCTACATGAGATGAACCATGACCGTCAAAAATTGTATAATGATTATTTAAAACCTAGTATTATTGATATAACAATTTTAGATTGTTATTAATAAAATATTCTGTTTATCTAACAAGTCTAAGCATCTAAACGTTTGTTCTGGTCTTTATTAAGACTAAATAAGTTAGGATATAAAATACCATATATTCAAAAAATCTTTCATTTCCAAACTATAAAGATGATTGTCTAATTTTGGAGAATCAAATTTAAGTATACTTTAAATCATTTGAATATGTCATAGATTTATTTGAAAAAGCATAAGGATGTTTCCTGTTGCCAATTAATATATAATGACCATATATCTGATGTGTATGTATAATTCTTTCCTTCAGTTCTTTCTGGAGACCTATTAAATTATTACAAATCAAATTTATTGCTAATTACATGTACATAAGAGTGCCAACAAAGGTTCTGACTATTGCAATAGTATTTTCCAGTTATTTACTGATCCCAAATTCTGAAAGTTTAATTTATCCTTAATTATTGATTAGAATATTTTCTGGTTTGATGAAGTAAATATTTTTATTTATGCAAATATTCTAACCCTAGGAGAATATTGTAAATTATTGTAGTATTGATTTGTTCATTGATGAATTCAACTAAATTGTTTTTATAAATCTATTCAATTAAGCTTTTCAAAGATTCTTGATCCATGTGCTATAGAACTAATCATATAATTCCTTATTTGTTTGTTTAAAGAGATACCTTCTTCATAATAGGCTCCATAAAACTTTATCTACTGCTCACATTCTATACCGTTTAATAATGTACTCAGATCATTCAGCATTTAATGTCGTTTATCCTTGTCAAAAACATTGATTATCTTTATATTAAGTATATATATCAACTTTTAATGCTACTT